AAGTAAGATTTTGTGTAGTTTCTTTTCCAAATTACTGCGATTCCATAGAATTTCTATCCGAATCGACGAATCTAGCTTTCAATTATTCAAATAAAAAATATGAAATCAATAAGAATTACTGCTCAGTTTACTTAGATCCAACAGATGTTAGATTGAACATAAGCACATCTTCGGATGATTACGATTTTAATTATTCTTATTATCAACCAACATTTCAATACAAAGTTATAAATTACACAACAGACCATCTTTATTTCTCACCGACATTATACATTTTGTTCAGAAGTAAATCTCCGAATACAGTTGCAACAATCAAAATTTCACAAAGTTTTTCTTATGATACATACAGTGCTTATGATAAGGACAAGCTCGAATATCTTTGCAACCAATCAATTTCTTTTGGATCCCAGCCAAAATACAAAATATTCGGAATTCAAAAGTTATTAATTGGCAGAAATCAAACAAAACTTAATTTTTATAAGGAACAATACGTAGTATTTACTGATTATCGCAACATTTCCGGAGAAGCAAGAACTTCAGAAGTATCTTTAGAAATTCTTGGAAATACACAATATTCAGCAATTTATTTCGCTCACACAGGTACAATTACATTAGAATCCTCCAGTGACGAACCTATTCCATGTAATTTTGTTGTTTTTAATTTGAATTATTATGATTGCACTTCGATTATCACAAATGTAAGGTCTAATTACAAATTCACTTCTCAGGACACAGCTCATACATGTGTTGTTACTGCTTTCACAAATGGAACAGTTCATTTCGAAGATGGTGATATTTATGATGTCTATGGAAAAATAAATAGAGCTAATATTATTGTTGAAAAACCTTTTCTAACAATAACTAATTCTAAACACGATTACTTATTTTTTTATCATGCTGGCGACAAATATAATACATCATATTTAATCAAAGGAAATAATTCAACTCATAGATCTCTTATCATTTTTGATAATTCGTATCATGAAATAAATTCATCAGAACCAGTTGAACAAAAATCAGATGATCATAATTATTCTGATGATGATAGTGATGAAGGACTAAGTGAAGGTGCTGTTTTGGAAATTATTATTGGAGCAGCAGTTGGAGCAGGTCTCATTGCTGTCGCTGCTTACTTATGTTATAGACACAGAAAATTCAGAGCTGAAAATCCAATTAATCAAAGCCTTGTTGATAAAACCGAAAAAGATTTACCTTTAGAAGAAACGAACAGCAATCCATATCCTAATGAATATAAAGCACCAGCATATAATCCAAAGCAAGAACAATCAAATACTTATTTCGAGAATCCTTATGAATAACTATTTTTTTTATATATTGTTTATGAACGAATCTTTAAAGATTTATAATGTTTTTTTTATTACAATTCTTATTACTCCCATAAGATTGAGCGTGTGAAAATAAGTTTATAACAACATTATCAACATTTTAGGCATCTCAATTATTAAGAAACATAAAGTATTTAGTAATATTGAATCAAATTTTATTATATAGGATGGGAGATAATTTTAATTGATAACAATAAGACTATCATTACCATCAAGCATTGCAATTCCTCTTTTATGTCTTAAAAAAAAAGAAAAAAGAGAGGAAACACAATCAATAATTCATGAACATTTCATTGATAATAGAAGTTGTCTATTAGAAGAAGTATCTAATAAATCCGAACCATTACCTTTAGAAGAGGTTCAAATAAATCCATATTTAATCGAAACAAAAGAAATACCAAATTATTCACAAAAATCGAAATCATTATTCGATAATCCTTATGAATAATTCGTGTCAGCTTTCATATGCTTTTATTGACTTTTCTTTTTATTCTGTAATTAAAATTTAATTGACAAAATTTATGCTTTAAACTGCGAATCAAAAGGCGGACCTATCAATTTTTGAATAGTTTACATTTCTAATGCTAACGGTGCCTTCACTGAGAGCGAGAGAAAATTATTAAATATTAGAGCTCAAATAAGCTTCACGTGCAATAGGTAGCAAATCAGCTTCTATTTATGCTTAAATTTCTGGTTTGAAGCTTGTATTAAATTTCGAAATCTTAAATTTTGAAGTTAGACCCGAAAAAATCGTATCAGTTCATCCTATATTTATATCTGTTTTATGATCCTTTGTTGTTATATCGAATTAGAGCAAATAGCTTGTGCGGTCCAAAAGGTGTACCTGGCAGAAATCGACTTTTTGAGAGAAACTCATATAATTAATTGTATGACTTCTCTCAAAAAGTTGAAGGTAGGTACGCCTTTTGACTCGCAGTTTATATCCATGAACATCAAATTAATTGAAACATGTTTACTAAGATAATATTGTCTCTTCTTGGTGGTAATATAGTTTCAACATCAAACAAACTAAATATAAAATTATGTATTTTGAGATTTGGACTTTACAAGGAATTCTCAATAGCAAAATGTTGTATTTCTGAAGCATTAATTTTTACAAATCCATGGTTATTCGCACACGTATTAATTTCAATCACTCATAATCCTTTTCTAATCCAATTTCTCTTTTTTGGATAGTAGCTTAGATGCATAAGGCAATTACGACCTTCTTCATTTTTGTTCTTGAGGACTGATTCATGAAGTATTGACCCATTCTGATACAAAAATTTTGGATCCACTTTTATTTTATTTTTAAAATTTTAAAAATAATACATTAAAAGAATTATCCAATTTCCATAGACATCATAAATATCACCATCTTCGAAATGAACTGTTCCATTTGTGAAAGCAGTAACAACACATGTATGAGCTGTGTCCTGAGAAGTGAATTTGTAATTAGACCTACATTTGTGATAATCGAAGTGCAATCATAATAATTCAAATTAAAAACAACAAAATTACATGGAATAGGTTCGTCACTGGAGGATTCTAATGTAATTGTACCTGTGTGAGCGAAATAAATTGCTGAATATTGTGTATTTCCAAGAATTCTAAAGATACTTCTGAAGTTCTTGCTTCTCCGCGAAATGTTGCGATAATCAGTAAATACTACGTATTGTTCCTTATAAAAATTAAGTTTTGTTTGATTTCTGCCAATTAATAACTTTTGAATTCCGAATATTTTGTATTTTGGCTGGGATCCAAAAGAAATTGATTGGTTGCAAAGATATTCGGAGCTTGTCCTTATCATAAGCACTGTATGTATCATAAGAAAAACTTTTGTGAAATTTTGATTGTTGCAACTGTATTCGGAGATTTACTTCTGAAGCAAAATGTATAATGTCGGTGAGAAATAAAGATGGTCTGTTGTGTAATTTATAACTTTGTATTGAAATGTTGGTTGATAATAAGAATAATTAAAATCGTAATCATCCGAAGATGTGCTTATGTTCAATCTAACATCTGTTGGATCTAAGTAAACTGAGCAGTAATTCTTATTGATTTCATATTTTTTATTTGAATAATTGAAAGCTAGATCGTTCGATTCGGATAGAAATTCTATTGGAATCGCAGTAATTGGAAAAGAAACTACACAAAATCTTACTTTATAATTATAATACGTGTTTGTTGATTTAAAATTAAAAAGTTGGCTCTGTGATTTTCCATATTTTGTTGTGCATGATTCATAGTTAATACGCAAGTAATCGCTCATATATGTATCTTGTAGAATAAAATAATAACTAAATGATTTGTTATCTGCAAATGAAAAAGTAATATCTTGACCATATGAACCAAATGTCAATTAAATAATCTCCTGTTCTGTTAATTATACCATTGGTGATTGTATAGTAAAACCAGGACATTCACAATGATTTTAATTTGAAAGCGGATCTATTTCAGAATGAATTTTGAATATTTTACACAGTCAGATTGTCAAATCATTTTAGTTTA